CCTTTTAATTTTGGGAAAAATCAACATTTCTGCTAAATTTTGAGCTCAATTTAAGGACTTTTTATTGTAAAAACCAAACAAAAGCACTCAATTTCTGTAATATGTCTTCCTTTTATAAGATGAACCAAGAAAATAGAAACAATAAATAAATACCAACGAAAAAACATGCAAAGTTGCTGTTTATTCCAAAAAAACGGGGCAAAGTTTTTTTTTTTTTCATTATGCACTGTTGGGGTGCAGATTTTTTTTTATACTGCCCACGACCACAAACCCCTTCTTCCATATGTAGCCTACCAGCTTTTTCCCACATTTTTGAGGGCCTAGAATTTTGGCGTATAGTACGTCAAAACCCCGGGGCAAAGCCTACTAGTACGGGCCAAAAACCCCAAAGGGTTTAAAAATTACATTACACCCAAAACGAAAATTGACAAAAATATGAGATTTGTTACAAACAGTTCGTAGGATGTGGGAAAAAATTACATTTTCTTAGTCAAACCTGGGGAAAAAGTTGATAAAAATTTTTAAAATGCCTTCATTCTGTAAATACAATTCATGACCCTTGTAGTTTAGTGTTTTTTTTCTATTATGATTATAATAAAATAAAATTTTAATAAAAAATAATAATTGTAATAATGATGATAAAATAATTTGTCAAGGGATATTCCTTCAAAAAATACTGGAATGGAATTGTTGGTCATTTTTTTATTCTATGTACCACTGTTGCTTTTTTGTGCCTTCCCTATATTTACAATTCATGATCATTGTGAGTTTAGTGCTTTTTTTTTTATTATGATTCAATAATAAAACTTGTAAAAAATAAATTTAAAATTGTAATAAAATAATTGTCAGAGCACATTTCCTTTTAAAAAAATTACATAGAATGGGGAAAGTGGTCGTTATTTATTCTATGTCTACGTGGAGCAATTTTTACACAATTAAGGTGTTTGTATGAATGTTTAGAACCTAAACCCGATCATCTTTTTTTGTTTTTTAGTGGGTGGAGTGGCCAGGCGGGTTCCTTTTCACAAACCCCACCTACCACACGACTTTTTACAAATAATACTTTCACCTTTCACCCTACTTATGACTAAAATATTTTTTTGGTAAGTAATGGGGTACTGTAACATTTTAACTCTATGGAACTTTGAGCATCGTTATAGTATATTTTTGTGGGGGGGGTCCAGGAGGGGACCACACCCAGTTCTTAAGTAAAATACTACTCCCTTTTTCCCTGCATTAAACTACAAATATTTTGAAGTAAAAAATGGTGACTGTTTGGGATTTACTTTTTTATTGTTTTTTTGCCTATTCTGTTGCTAAATAACTAATCTTAGTGAAACTTTTTTATTTGGCATTTTAGCATTTTTAATTAAAAAAATGGTTCTTTTTCTTTTCATTTCTGTTTGGTTTTGATACCTCATACGTACAGTGGATCCCCCCTTTTGGATCACCTCCCACCCCGGGCCATTTTTTAATGATTTATTTAAGTGTGTTTGTACGTGTATGTTTGGGGGGCTGAAATGGACTAATCAATTCCAAAATTTTCCTTTTGGAAAAAAGAGGAGGTTAAGAAGGGGGTGGGAAACAATGTAAAAAAAGCAAAGAGGTGGGTGAGATGTTATCAACAAATATTTTTGAAAAAAAGAAAAAATTTTTTTGGGTGAGATTAACAATTAAGGAAACCAGAGAAAAAAAAGGGTTTTGTCATTAAAAAAGGAGAGGAGAGTTTTTAATGGGGAAATTAAGGTATTGGGGGAAAATGGGGGGAAATTTTTAGAAATTTTTAAATGTTGATGAAGATAGGGGAAACTGGATTTCTGTATAGGGGAAGGAGGAAAAACATCTTGTAGGAGTAGGGAAAGGCCAGTTGTGAGTGTGGGGGGAAGTTGTGTGGCTAGGTAAAATAAAAGGGGGGAAGGCAGCCAGGATTGATGGAATAAAATAGAAAATGTTAAAAGCAGTGGGGATATTTTTTGGAGTGGTTGGTGCAATTATTTAATAAATGTATGGAAGAGGGTAAGGTACCTAGGGATTGGCAGAGAGCATGCATAGTTCCTTTGTATAAAGGCAAAGGGGACAAAAGAGAGTGCAAAAATTATTAGGGGATAAGTCTGTTGAGTATACCTGGTAAAGTGTATGGTAGAGTTATTATTGAAGAATTAAGAGTAAGACGGAGAATAGGATAGCAGATGAACAAGGAGGCTTTAGGAAAGGTAGGGGATGTGTGGACCAGGTGTTTACAGTGAAACTTATAAGTGAACAGTATTTAGATAAGGCTAAAGAGGTCTTTGTGGCATTTATTGGATTTGGAAAAGGCATATGACAGGGTGGATAGGGGGGCAATGTGGCAGATGTTGCAGGTGTATGGTGTAGAGGTAGGTTACTGAAAGCAGTGAAGAGTTTTTACGAGGATAGTGAGGCTCAAGTTAGAGTAGTAGGAAAGAGGGAAATTATTTCCCATTAAAAGTAGGCCTTAGACAGGATGTGTGATGTCACCGTGATTTGTTTAATATATTTATAGATGGGGTTGTAAAAGAAGTAAATGCGAGGTTCTTGGCAAGAGGCGTAGAGTTAAAAGATAAAGAATCACACATAAAGTGGGAGTTGTCACAGTTGCTCTTTGCTGATGACACTGTGCTCTTGGGAGATTCTGAAGAGAAGCTGCAGAGATTGGTGGATGAATTTGGTAGGGTGTGCAAAAGAAGAAAACTAAAAGTGAATACAGGAAAGAGTAAGGTAATGAGGATAACAAAAAGATCAAGTGATGGAAGATTGGATATCAGATTGGAGGGAGAGAGTATGGAGGAGGTGAATGTATTCAGATATTTGGGAGTGGACGTGTCAGCGGATGGGTCTATGAAAGATGAAGTGAATCATAGAATTGATGAGGGGAAAAGGGTGAGTGGTGCACTTAAGAGTCTGTGGAGACAAAGAACTTTGTCCTTGGAGGCAAATAGGGGAATGTATGAGAGTATAGTTTTACCAACACTCTTATATGGGTGTGAAGCATGGGTGATGAATGTTGCAGTGAGGAGAAGGCTGGAGGCAGTGGAGATGTCATGTCTGAGGGCAATGTGTGGTGTGAATATAATGCAGAGAATTCGTATTTTGGAAGTTAGGGGAGGTGCGGATTACCAAAACTGTTGTCCAGAGGCTGAGAAGGTTTGTTGAGGTGGTTCGGACATGTAGAGAGAATGGAGCGAAACAGAATGACTTCAAGAGTGTATCAGTCTGTAGTGGAGAAGGAGGCGGGTAGGGTCGGCCTAGGAAAGGTTGGAGGGAGGGGTAAAGGAGGTTTTGTGTGCGAGGGCTTGGACTTCCAGCAGGCATGCGTGAGCGTGTTTGATAGGAGTGAATGGAGACAAATGGTTTTTAATACTTGATGTGCTGTTGGAGTGTGAGCAAAGTAACATTTATGAAGGGGTTCAGGGAAACCGCAGGCTGGACTTGAGTCCTGGAGATGGGAAGTACAGTGCCTGCACTCTGAAGGAGGGGTGTTGATGTTGCAGTTTAAAAACTGTAGTGTAAAGCACCCTTCTGGCAAGACAGTGATGGAGTGAATGATGGTGAAAATTTTTCTTTTTCGGGCCACTCTGCCTTGGTGGGAATCGGCCAGTGTGATAATAAAAAAAAAAAATATCCTTATGGGAACAAATTCGGTCAGTACTGGCACCTGAACATACTTCTGGAATGAAAAAATATCATAAACCAGGGGTCCACTGTATACTGTGATGCATTGAAATTTTTTTTTGCTTGAACTCTGAATTTAACTTATCAGATTCTCTTATAAGCTCATAATCCCCCCTTAATTCAGTTGATCAACACAGAACATACTTTCTAAGTGCATTATCTCTCCAAATTCTTTTTGTAATATGATAATTAACTATTGATTATCCAGTCTTTCTGTGAGGGATTGAGGTGTGACAATACTGGATAGATTTACAGTATTGGTTAGTAGGATTTCAAGCATTTTTCATGTTCATCAACAAGTGATAGACAAATGCATAGAGTTGGTTAAAAGCATAAAAGATTTATGTTTTGCTTTGTTATACTATACAGTGGACCCCTGCCTTACAATATTAATCCGTTCCTGAGAGCTCATCGTAAGCCGAAATTATCGTAAGGCGAATTAATTTTCCCCATAAGAAATAATGGAAATCAAATTAATCCGTTCCTGACACCCCAAAGTATGAAAAAAAAAAAATTTTACCACATGAAATATTAATTTTAATACACACAAACTGAAGAAGACATGCACAATTACTACTCTACTAAGAATGGAATACATGACACTTACCTTTATTGAAGATCTGGTGATGATTGATGGGATGGGAGGAGGGGAGAGTGTGGAAGTTGTTATTGTTTAGAAGGGGAATCCCCTTCCATTAGGACTTGAGGTAGCAAGTCCTTTTCAGGGGTTACTTCTCTTCTTCTTTTAATGCCACTAGGACCAGCTTGAGAGTCACTGGACCTCTGTCGCATAACAAATCTGTCCATAGGGCTCTGTACCTCCCGTTCCTTTAAGACTTTCCTAAAATGAGCCATAACATTGTCATTGTATAGGTTGCCAACACTGCTTGCAGTAGCTGTGTCAGGGTGATTTTCATCCATAAAGGTTTGCAGTTCAACCTACTTTGCACACATTTCCTTAATCTCTTTTTTCAATTCCATACTAATTCTCGCCCTTTTTACCACAGGGACGGCACTAGAAGCTTTCTTGGGGTCCATGGTGACTTATTTTGCAGTTACAAGCACTAAAAACACTGAGATAATATGAAATGTACAGAATGTATGTGTAGATGCGACCGCACTGGCTGGCTTGTAAACACTGGTGCTGAGGCCACACGTGGGACGCGTCCTGGACGAATCGCATAGGGCGAGATTTTTATAGTGAGGCGAGACAAAATTTTTGTGTTAAAATGTATCGTATGGCGGATTTAACGTAACGTGATGCCATCGTAAGGCGGGGGTCCACTATATTTGAACTTGTTCTATTTCAGGTGAACGGGTTCTTGATGTTGCTTGTGGTAGTGGAGATGCTCAGACAATTGCTGTGACAGACTCTGGTAATGTGTATTCTTGGGGTGATGGAGACTATGGCAAACTTGGACGAGGTGGATCAGATGGCTCCAAAGTTCCAAAACTTGTGGATAAACTTCAGGTTAGTTTAAGTTCTTTTGTTTTATATGAAATTTGAAAGGAGAGAATAGGGAAGTGTTAATGGGGAAGAATTTTGGGTAAAATTAATATGAGATTTTTGCTTACATGGAGACTACACATGTAAGCATGTAGTGTTGTATAACCATGCAACTGTTAACCCTTTCTGGGTCGACAGGCCCTCTCCCAAACTTGTTCTCAGGGTCAAAAAATATTTGAAAAAAAAAAAAAAAATTTCTTATGAAAAGATAGTTTTTTTTTTTTTTTTCTAAATTTTATAGGGTAAAAAAATTTTTGCCATCAATAATTACAAAGATATGGAGGTGTGAAGTTGACAGAAATTGAACCGCATTCGGCAACATTGCCGACTGCCGGTCACCCGGTACTCATATACACCTACCATCCGACTTACGACCTGCTCAACATACGACCACTCGACTTACGACCGTGTTTTTTATGCCAAATTTCTGGGAAATAAACAACTATTTGTGTTGTACACAGTGTTTATCCTAAACCTTACAGTATAAAATACAGTACTAACAGCATAAAAAGTAAAGTAAAACATGAAATACCAAAATAAAACAATAAAATAAAGTCATTACAAAAATGTGATGTTGATATTCAGTAGTAAAGTTCGACTTAGGTCCATTTCGACTTATACCGGTTTCTCGGAACCGAACTCGGTCGTAAGTCGGATGGTACCTGTATTTTGTTTTTTCTACCTTTTTCTACTATTTTTTAATATTTTTTCTTTTCAAGTACAGTAAGGCCCCACTTTATGGCGTTCCACTAATACGACAATGTCAAATTATGACCCAAATTTGCTATATGGCACGCGGTCTTTCAAATACGGCGCACCCCACCCGGTTTGTTTACATTCTCCGTGACCACATCTATTATGTCAGGAAACTGTCCAAAATTTCAAGTGTTTTAAAGTTACCGCGTATTTTATATGTACTCTGATAATTATACTTATGTGTACCTGTACCTAAATATACTTACACACTGTGCTGGTGTGCAGGTACACATTAAAAGTCATGATGCCAATACTATGTAATAATAATCACTCTTGGGCACACTAAATGTCTTATTTTACATTAATATAGGCATTTTCATTAATCCATCTGTGATGTTTTTCTCAAAATTATATATGAAACCCGTTACATAGCATATAAGCATGATACATGGACTCACAGAATAAAAATTGATGTAAATATAAGATTTGTTTACAAAGCAGCTCTGTAGGTAGTGTCGGAAGAATTACGTTTTCTCTAGTCAAACTGGGGGATAACTGTAGAAAAATATTCTTTTCGTATGCCTTCACTCTATATATAACAATTCACGACCCTTGTGGGTTTAGTGCTTTTTATTATGTTAATAATAATAATAATAATATTAATAATAATAATATCTTCATTCACTCTAAAATGGTGTGTTGCTGTTTATTCTGTACTAACTTGTACACAATGTAAGAGTATTTGTATTGTGAGGTAATTATTATAATAAAAAAAATATGAAGTAAATGTTTTACAAACTCTTACAAACGTACGTGAATGAACTAAAAGTAGACACACATTAATACGCATTTATTTCGCCTGACCAAGTGATCATCCACTACCTGTTCAGTTTGTATTCTTACACTGTCTGAACTCTGTATCTTGTTCTCTCTCTCATTTACTCTTTTGTTAATTAGTTGGCTCTCATTGACGATGGCATCTAAGGTTAGCTGTGATAAAAAGAGGAGTCGTAAGCCTCTTGCTTTAAGTGCCAAGTTAGAGGATGATGGTGTGCCATTCTGATTTTATTCAAAAAACACCCTGCCACTCACCTCTCACATACTAATATTAATATTTTAAGGCAACTAATAAGCGTACTCTGTGTGTACCTTACCTTTTATTGTGTTTTTAATGCCTATTTGTATTGCTAACTTTATATAAGTTAGTGTAAACTTGTTGTCTGGCATTTATTGCATATTTTGTATGTGCTCTGTTAATAATACTTGTGGACCTTCGTGGTAGCCAGCCGGAGGGAAAACATTACGTTTTCTCTGCTCAGCCATCAGAGAAAACATGTATGAATCTGAGTTTGGCCCAGCCGCTCCCCCACGCCGCTTTTGTTTACAATTTTCGGCATCAATTATTCATTACTTCTCCCTTCGTTTATGATGGCATCTAAAGGTAGTTGTTAGAAATGATTAACTCAGTGAACAAGGTATGTCAATGCTAATAATATAGCTCTGGGCCACAGTATAGGTAGCCGATAGGTGTAGCCCAGGCGGGCTACACCTACCGGCTATCTACACTGACTTCCTACAAATAAATACTACTCACCTCTCTTCCTATATTAACTAAGACTACACATATTTTAAGGTAAATAATGAGTGTACTGTATGTGTATTTTAACTCTGGGATATTTTAAATATCGTATATTAAGTATGAGACGGGGAGCCAGGGCTACGTACACCTGACTTCCTACAAATAAGTACACTCACCTCTTCCCTACATTAAGATTTCAAATACTTTAAGATAAATAATGAATGTACAGTGGTCCCTCAATAATCGTCCGGCCTGAAAGTCGTCCATTTAGGAAATAGTCCCGTTATTTCGTCTAAACATTGGCTCGCAAATGATGCATTAACTCGCTAATCGTCCTTCGTCTGGGACGATACTCACGCTCTGAGCCGCCTGGGCCTGTCTTCCCAGCCAGTGTGCCATTGTTTACCAGTGAACGACGGTCCCCTCACTTGCTCCTACGAAATATTTCATAATATTCCATGATTTTAGTGCTTGCAAGTGTAAATAAGCTTTCCATGGCTCCAAAAAAAGCTAGTTTCCAGCCCTTTGGTAAAGAATGTGGAAAACACAAATAATTTATAAAAAAATTTGTAGAAAAAAAACAAAGGGGTTGTGGTGGTAGAGTGGAAGCAGTTGTGATAGTGGTTGTTGGTGGTAGTGATGGTGGTAGAAGGTAGTAGTGATGGTGGTTAACAGTTGTAATAGTGGTAGAAGGTGGTTGAAGGTGGTTAGAGGGGGTTTTTTCTTGAGTGATTCAGCGATTCTACCAACTCCTCCAATGTTGTTTTTAGTTATATAGGGAACAGAAACACCACCGCCTCAGCTGCTGCTTCACCACCATTATGGAACGGCTTACTCTCAGTGGCCCTTATATACCCAACAACAACACAACACCTCTCGTGACATACGTAATGACTTATTTTATTCATTCTAGAGTATATTCCATTGTTTCCATGTTATTAATATTGTTTATTATGTCATATTAGTTGAATTGTAAAAGATAAATAAGCCGTAGAGTTGATATTAGTGTCATGTTCTCCAACAATAAACTTGCCATCCCTCCCTCACACAAACAAGTCCCAATAAGAACATAAGTAAGGAGGAACACTGCAGTAGGCCTGCTGGCCCAACTAGGCTGGCCCCTTTACAAATCCAAACCCCCTAACAGAACAAATGCTACCCAAGCAATGAGCTCAGGTGCAAGTCCACCCAAATCCAACCCCTCTCACTCGTGTATTATCCAACCTAAATTTGAAACTACCCAAGCCATAGCTTTTAGAATATAAGAAAGGAGGAAACACTGCAAAAAGCCTTTTGGGCCCCATATTAGGCCGGTCCCTTCATAAATCCAACCCACTAACAGAACAAATGCAAACCAAGCAATAAGCTCAAGTGGCAAGTCCGACTCAAATCCAACCCCTCTCACTCGTGCATTTATGCTAGCTAAATTTGAAACTACCCAAGTCATAGGTTTTTGAACATAACATAAGAAAGGAGGAACACTGCAGTAGGCCTGTTGGCCCATACTAGGGAGGTCCTTCACAAATCCAACCAAACTAACAGAACAAATGCTACCCAAACAATAAGCTCAGGTGCAAGTCCGACTCAAATCCAGCCCTTCTCACTCATGTATTTTTTATATTTATTTTATTTATTATCACACCGGCCGATTCCCACCAAGGCAGGGTGGCCCGAAAAAGAAAAACTTTCACCATCATTCACTCCATCACTGTCTTGCCAGAAGGGTGCTTTACAAATACAGTTTTTAAACTGCAACATTAACACCCCCCTTCAGAGTGCAGGCACTGTACTTCCCATCTCCAGGACTCAAGTCCGGGCCCCCCGGTTTCCTGAATCCCTACATAAATGTTACCTTGCTCACACTCCAACAGCACGTCAAGTATTAAAAACCATTTTTTCTCCATTCACTCCTATCAAACACGCTCACGCATGCCTGCTGGAAGTCCAAGCCCCTCGCAACAAAACCTCCTTACCCCCCCTCAACCCTTCCTAGGCCCACCCCTACCCGCCTTCCTTCCATACAGACTGATACCTCTTGAAGTCATTCTGTTTCGCTCCATTCTCTCTACATGTCCCAACCACCTCAAAAACCCTTCTCAGCCCTTGGACAAAGTTTGGTAATCCCCCACCTCCTCCTAACTTCCAAACTACGAATTCTCTGCAAATTATATTCACACCACACATTGCCCTCAGACATGACATCTCCACTGCCTCCAGCCTTCTCCTCGCTGCAACATTTCTCACCCACGCTTCACACCCATATAAGAGCGTTGGTAAAACTATACTCTCATACATTCCCCTCTTTGCCTCCAAGGACAAAGTTTTTGTCTCCACAGACTCCTAATGCACCCCTCACTCTTTTTTTCCCCCATCAATTCTATATTCACCTCATCTTTCATAGACCCATCCGCTGACACGTCCACTCCCAAATATCTGAATACATTCACCTCCCCCATACTCTCTTTCCCCCCAATCTGATTTTTCAATCTTTCATCACCTAATCTTTTTGTTTTCCTCATAACCTTACTCTTTCCTGTATTCACCTTTAATTTTCTTCTTTTGCAACCCTACCCAAAATTTATCCACCCAAACTCTGCAACTTCTCTTCAGAATCTCCCAAAAGCCAGTGTCATCAGCAAAGAGCAGCTGTGACAACTCCCACTTTGTGTGTGATTCTTTATACTTTTTACTCCACGCCTCGTGCCAAGGACCTGCCATTTACTTCTCTTACAACCCCATC